AGAGAGAGAGAGAGACAAAAAAAATTAAGGAAAGAGAAAACTCAATGACGAAAGGAAGTTTAGTTTTGTGGTAAATTCCAAAATACAGTTTGACAACCACAGTGCTGTATTTATGGAAGGGCTAGAAATATTGCAGCTCTTGGGATGAACTTGACTCCCTGTGACCCTCCAAACTAATTAGATTTAGTTCCATGAAGAAACTCCAGGAGAATGTAGTTTCCTTGTAAATGGTACGACATATTTCATTTAAAATTGATAAAACTTTTGCATCATAACACTGACGAAACCAAAGATTTGGTAATTGTAAAATTTCCTAAATGTTGCTTTTACCTGTGAATAATTCCATGTTTGTGAAGGTAATCCAAAGCCAAGACCACCTGCAGCCACAACACAAACCATTGAAGGCTCTAAATTTAAATAGGGCTTGAAGGACAAGTGATGAAACAGTAAGATGCGTTTAATATGTACGGTGAGTAGTATTGGTAGGCATTAAAGCCAAGTGGCCCACGACACCCTGCAGCTTACATACATACATACATGCATAGTTTATTTGATAAAGCAGGTTACTAGGTAGGCAAGACTAAAGTCCTGATGTGGACCTGCTAACTAATTTAAAACTTTACACTTAATTAAGAAATAGAAATATGTACATATGTATAGAAGTTACTAGTATTACAATAATTAGTTCAAAAATATGTATAAATATCGTCCTTATTCGTAATTGATGAAGATTCCTTTGAATAAGATATACTGCTCAAGATCAGTTTGTTTTTCTTCAGTTTTTCTTTGAAAGCTTGAAGGATGGGCGCCTCCTTTATGCTGTCCAGGAGGGTATTCCAAGCAATGGCAGCCCTATGTTTAAAGGTCAATCGTCCTTTTTCAGTTTTTGGTCTTGTTACATTTATGTTCAAGGATTTTCTAAGGCCATACACTTGGGCACTTTTTGTAACTAGTTTATTAAGTAGATCATTATTGAGCCCATGGAATGATTTGCAAGTTATTGATAGGATCCTTTTTGTGTAGAAGTGGGAAAGGGGAGACCAACCCTTTAGATTTCTCAAGTCATTTATGGTTGTTTCCCTTGGTAGATTATAGATTAGCGGCGCAGCTCGTGCGTGAATACACTCAAGTTTCTCCAGTAAGGCCGAAGAGCATGATCCCCAAACAGCAACTCCATATAGGACAGATGGGATAATGGTCTTGAAATAGATAGTCTCCAAGGTGGACTTAGGTAAAAACTTAATTCTCTTCAAAACACCTAGTTTCCTGTTGAATGTTACAAGGAAGTGAAGTTACAAGGACCATGGCTACCCCCTATCTTTTTTGGGAGGAGCACAGGCTCATTTCCCTTGAAACAGCTGCTGACAGGGTTTGGCCATTAATTGCTTGACAAAGCACAGAGGGCACTTCTGATGTTATGCATTTATAAGCACAAGCAGTGGTAATCATTTTAAGCTACAATACACTTAATATATGTTAAGTGTCTAAGATATGATAATGAAATGTCATCATGATAGATACTTGACCTGTGCTATATAGATTCTTGCCATGGTTTCATCAAAGTATCCCATGTTATGTAACAATGATTTACAGTCTCCTCCAATTAAATACTCCATGACCTAAAAGAAAAAGTAAATATATATGCGTCATTGACCAAACAAGCTGGTCACTAAAGGATTTATTATGTACCAAAATGATTCCTTGAAAATCAAACTTCAGTCAAGGATAAAAATTCAAGAAAGTAGTACATGATCTAAGAAGAAGAAATAACTAACAAGTTAACAAAAGACAGGTTCTATAAACCTACTTGAGCATTAATCTTTTAACTCTTATTAATTAAGAGTGATTAGTATAATTTCAGAGCTGAGCAAAGAGTTTCCGGCAATCTGATTGGTTGAGTGGTTCCTTATATGATGCTATATAAACTGCTCCACGCGGTTTATAGAAAATGTTAAAATAAATTTTTTATAAATGTTACTAAAATGTTATGATTTTAGAAATTTCTCTGTTGTTCAGCTCTGAAATTATACTAATTAAGAACAATTATTCGCCTCAAGTTTGGTGAATATTGTTGAATAATCCCCTCAACTTCGTCTCGGGGATTATTCGACGATATTCACCTCGCCTTCGGCAACTTATTGTTAAATAGTATCTAACTTCTCCTAATATGATATCACCCTCGAGTCAAACATGATATCACCCTCGAGTCAAACATATCACCCTCGAGTCAAACATGATATCACCCTTGAGTCAAACATCAAGGTTATGAGAATAAAGCAAATGATCACCAACTTATTAAACAAGCTCTTGTTGATAAACAATTTCTCCTTGTCAGCAGCTTAGGAAATGTATGGAGAACAGTATGGAGAATATGCATACTGATGTAAGGGTGTAAATGGTCAAAAATAGAATAAGACTCACCAGAAATATCCTGTCTTTTGATTGAAAGGAGTAAAACAAGTTTACAATGTAGGGACTCTTTGCAATAGCCAGGCAGTCTCTTTCGGCCACCACTGGAAAAAGGAAAAGTCCAGTAAATACACTTGCAGAATAAAGTTGTTTTAACAATAACAGGAAATCAACTTGGATGTAATGGTGTAATGGATGTAGTGTTTTCTCACATAAAAATTGTAAAGATTTCTCTTTTTCCTTGCACTATAGCAAAAACAAAGCTGTAGTCAAAAAGGTACCTACAGTTTCTGCCATTGTTTTCTTTATCCAACAGCTGTAATCATAATGAAGTATAGGGCTGTGTAGAAATCTCATCTTAAAATTTGCCACTTACCCTGTTCTATCATGTTCTTGTTCACAACGTCAGTCTTCTTCACCACCTTTACCGCATAGAACTGTTGATCTTTGTCTCTTCTTCGAGCCAAAAATACTTTTCTGAAAAGCAGCTCTTTATTTACCAATCACTATTCACATAACAACACTATAAATAATTCACTAAGTCCTGTTAGGAAGAAAGCCAAGTTCCATGTATTAAATCACTAGAACAACTTCATTCAATCAATGTGAACTCAACAAGTGAAATTTTTTGAAAACCAAGGTACCAAAATTATACAAGAAAGAAGACTCATTAACAACTGGAGCAATGTTCCCATAACGTACTAAGAATGAAAGGATCCCAAAATTAAACTAGTAAACGGTGACAACCAGGAAAAAACAGTTTCCAAATAATCATAACTCTTTACTCTGGAAATCCTTGAAGCCATTTCTTATGATGGTGACCAACATTAAACGCAGAAAAAAAAAAATCTTCAACAGTGTGGTAAAGTTACAGGTGCAGTGACAGAAAGTGTCCCCTTATAATATCTCAGCAACCTTCTCGTTTATTATGTGTATCCAGTGAACTGTAGAAGGTGGAGGGTTAAACATAACTTACCCAAAGGCTCCTCGGCTAATTGGTTTGATTATATTGAAGTCATCAATACTTGTTGGCTGTATAAACAATAAGTCATTAACAGAATACTTTGTTATCTATCATTTAAGAACCTTTGAATATAACATGCCTTATGCTATAAAACGACATTTTTCCCCGTAGTGACACTTTTACTGTTCAAATGAGTTACAGGCCTAGGTTTGAAAGAAGTCTTCAATTAGCACTTTGCTCTCTCGTGTGTTTTGTGTTAAAAATAATAGGTATGCTTACATAAGTAGTGTACATAGATGCAATTACTATACTAAATACTTGAGTGAGAGACCCTTTTTTTTCTTATCAATAACATACTAGAAAAAAAAAATACAAACCTTAACAGTATAACGGCTTTTCTTGTCTTCTGATGAAAGCTCATCCATCGTTGGGTAAACTTCGGAAACGAACGGCATATACACACACCTTCAAATTGCCCAGATGAAAGTTCAGTCAAGAACAAAGCCAACGTTGGTACACACCACTGATTTAATGGTGTAATCAAGATCTCTGAAAATTACTTGGATCGCTCAATAAAAGTATTAGAATTATAAATTTGGAACCAACAGCATTCAACCTGGTCGCCATGTTTAAATTTCAGCGCGGAAATCACATTAGTGTCCAGTCTCCTTGTGCATGATATTTCGCAAACGTTTGTGGGAAACAGGGCTGAATAACGTCTGCGCATGTGCTAGACCTCTTGGCTCGCGCTAGCACCAATGGCCTGGGCACCATAACAAACTTCGAAAAGATGGCGGCGTTTTTAAAAAGTTTCGTATAGCGCCCGGTTTTTGGTGAAAAGGTAGCGCCAAACTGAAAACGGTAGAAAGAAATCTTTACGCTAGTTCCCTCGTTCATTGATCAGCACATACACTTTTGTACACTGAGGTTTAAAGGTTGTACACTTAGTGAAAACAGCGCGTTAACACGATAGATTTCTCGAAGACTTAGCAGATGACATCTTACGCGGTGTTTTAGATGTTATCGACGTCCATCCTATTGTTCTTTAGTTCCCATACAAAGCCCAATGAGCGGACTTGGTGGTTTATTAAGCAAACACGAGCTGGAGAAACATGCCAAGGTCGATTGAGGCGGTTTGACGAGGCCATTGCTCGGTTTGTGGACATAAATGACATGCTAACAGATTCAACTTTTTCCTCACTGGGTGAAGTTTCTGGCACCCTGGTAGTGTTAGGAGTGTTGCCCTGGGTGTGATGATCAGTGGAGGAGCCACAAGTAGTCGCATCAGTTTGGGATACCAGCTTTGGCATGTCCAGAAGGGCACCAGCAGTATTCCCTCTGCTTTGTTTGCTTGAATTTTTTCCAGACATTTCCCAATCAGACTAAATGGAGGGAAAGCATAAAAGAAGAAAGTATTCCAGTTGGCAGAGAATGCATCAACAAACAGTGCATCTGGATCAGGCCTCCAGGAGGCATAGACTGTACATTGTTTATTTAAGCGAGATGCAAACAAATCAATGCTTGGCTGACCAAGTCGCTTGGTTATTGACTGGTATATTTTTGACTCTAACTTCCATTCAGTATGGTCATTAAAGTGCCTAGATTCTCTATCTGCTTCAGTGTTTTCACATCCTGGCAGATGTGAGGCACTTAACCAAATGTTATGCTCAACACAATAATCCCATATGTGTTTTGTGACTGAGTTGCAGTCGGGGGACTTTGAGCCACCCATATTGTTGATATAACAAACTGCGGTGGTATTATCACATTGAACCCGAATGTGGTTTAATCGTGTAAGAG